TTTCCATGCAAAACTGTTTTGAATTGCTCATTCCTAGACAGCGCATCAAGGGTATATTTTAAACCTTCCCGGTTGTCGCAAATGAAAAAAAATACTGTGCCATTTCAATGTCTCCCTATTGCTCCGACTACCAAAAGGAAGAGAATTTTTCTGTCCACATTTTGAGAAATGATAGATAAGGGTCTGAAGGAAAAACATGCAAAGTTTGGTTAAGATCGGATTAGGGAATATTGAATTATGGGATGGTAAAGTTTGAAAAATTTTGTGCACGTTCCTATGGGAATGTCTCCCAAGTGACTCATTTTCGGTAATAATAATTACCAGTGTTATGATTATTGATAATTTTGCATTTAGTCTTTAGGGTCTAAGTTTTTTTTCTAGTTTCCCTTTGTTGGTAATTCTGAAATCCCCCATAATTCCCTGCCTTAGCCCTGTCTTTTGTTGGTCTCCATTCAGCTGTACTGTACATGTACAGTAGGCCTACATGTACATGTACATTGATCTGTACCACAAACAAGCTGTTCACTGCCTTTGCAAACACTGCCCCTGAGTTGCATGAATACAGTGTAACTTTTCCTACCCACTCCTTGGTCTATTCAATGGATCTTGTTGGGTCATCATAACCCTGTCCGTAGAATACTGCATTATTGTGCGTTTCAGATGTGGTAGCAGTTTACATATGTGTACATGTACATTTGTTTGTGAAGGTAAGTCTATGTGATGAATCTTTGTTGGTAAGGTTTAAAAAAAGTTTTTCATTTGCTATAGGAAATTATTTTCAAGCAGTTTATGTACATGTACATTTGTTGTATGGGTTCAGTATTACATGTGTACATGTACATATATGTAAAGTGTACCATGTACATTGTGTACATGTACATGTACATGTACATGTGATGCCTTGCTTCACTGGTGGATCATGTGCTCACAGATCCTGCATTCATGCTTGTACAAATAAGTCTACATGCATGTACTGGTACATTCACTGTACATGCATACAATGCATATAATGTACACGTATGTTTCAGTATTATGGACTTTCTGCTTGCATGGTGTACATGTACAATACACATTGTACATGTACATGTACAGTGTACTTACACAATGTGCATGTACTGTATGTACTACTGGTATTTGTAGGGTGCAACTCACAGGGGTATGTGATGACCCCATAATTCTCGAGGTACATGGTATCATCCGGGCTTGATGGTATTACCATTGCATGCAATGAATTTCCAATGGGATCTGTATATTCTCTTCAGAATTTTCAAAGCAGGTACATTAGAGTCTTAAAAAAAAATCCAAGGTTGCATAAAAATTCTGTTGCAAGTAGACTCTGAATGCAGAGGGTAACCGATCAATATGCGACAGAGTCCACCATAACGTTATACGCTGCAAAGTGTCAGTACGAAATAGATGCAGATCCCTTTGGGGACGCATGCAATCAATTGGTCCCCATGTCAACGCTGCGAACCCCAGGTGTGGAACATCCTGTCTTATCAGCCTTAATTCGGAAGTGGCAGGTGTCACGTATAAAGGAAAAAAAAAATCACTCAATAAATGAATTTATTCAAATAAGCTAACTTTGCATTTGAAGATTCACTTTTATTACCTTACATTAAAAAAACTAATGAATGAAGATATGGACATTACATTCACCTAAGTCATAATGCACATTTTAAATGAGCATTGCTATGGTAACAAGGAAACACTTGACAACAGTACTTCTTGTTCTTAAAAGGCAGACCCTATTTAAAATTGTTTAAGATTTAAGCAACTACAGTTAAATGTACATGTGGTATGTTTTCTGCAACATTTATTGTCTTATAAATTTACCGTGCAAACGTGCATGGCAGTACAGTTTGATGTACATGTACAGGCATGATTAACAGTACTACATGTACATGTTCCTTCACTTTCTTCAAATTATGCCCATTGAAGTGTGCCAGTAGAGTTTCCATTTCTTGGTGCCTTGGGCAATAATGCATTGTGCTTATACCTCCTTCTGTATTCATATTGAACAATTATATGCAGTGGTGTCCAAAAGATACCGAGTATTACACCTGTTATACCGGTACATACATGTATGAACATGTGTACAAGTATACATTTACTGCACCTGGATTGCTCTCATTAATTAATTGAATTTCATTGCATTATGAGAGTGAAGTACCGGTACATGTACAGTACCTATCCATACATGTACATGTATGTGTAATAATAATACATGTAATAATAATAGCACAGTTTTTATATAACGCATCACACCAAGGTCCCGATGCGCTTTACAAGAAACAACAATTAAGAACAATTAATGGAACAAGTAAGTTTTGAGAATTTCTTTAAAATCCACAAGGATGGATTTCATTTCGCATTCTCCCTCTCTGCCAAACTGGTTCTTGACTGATAAGGGTATCCTGTTACTGTAACCAATTTACTAAGTGAAATTGATTTCTGTACTCTACAGTCTTAAAGACCAACTCCAACGGTTTTAAAGTTTTGAAAATTAACTATCAAGTGTGTAATAAAATCTTTATACATTCATTACCAAATCATGTGTGTAATGCGTCTGTATTTTTTGTAATTTTGCAGGAACTTTTGAATGGTGTCTTTGAGTTGATGAAAATTTCCACAATCTGACTGCTGGCGGCACTGTTGAAAAATGAAATTTGTTTGATGCAATACCGGACAAAACATTGAAACTGGTATCCATGGCAAAACTGGTTCTGCTACAAACATACATGTATGTACATGTACATGAACATGGAGCTACACGAACATGTATGTGTACCGTGTACTGGGGATTGATGTGTATGCCGGGTCTACTGTGCTGCATTATCTCTTTTCTGTGAGAGTTTGTGTTCCTTTCTTCTTGATATACAATAATGCTGAAATCGTGTATCACTGGTGGAGTTTGTGCTGTTGTCTGTGACTCTGCGGGCTATGCATTCCTAAAGCGCACGCACTGTGGTATTTCCTCTCCACGGTAATACATCACAAAATCAGTATTCATTAGATGCTTATGAGTCTTGAGACACGTCCATTTGTACAGTACCACTGGACTCACAGGAATTATGGATACAAAAACTGTGTTTTAAAAATGTGTATTGCAAGGAAGATATTGAAACAATACAATGTATGCACCACTTTTGACTTGGCTCTTCTGAATAAGATTCAATATGAGAAAAGTTAGCATCGTTAGAGTTGGTCTTTAACTTCTAAGAGGGTATACATGTAATTGTACTGTATTGTACCATATATACAAGTACATACATGTACGTGTGTGCATGTACTGGTATGGTGTCACTTGCTTTTTATGGAGCCTTGCCCATGGGCCTTGGAGGTTGGTAGGCAACAGCGTTGCGTTCCTTCTTGCCCTCTCTCCCCCCCTCCCCCGCCGGGAAAAGAAATTTGAAAAATTAAGAAAGGAAGGAGGCAATAAGCAAAAGAAATGAAAAAAAGAGATGGAAGGGGATTAAAATAACTATTTGCTTCAAAAACCTTGAAATTGACCTCTTTCAACTGTTACCAGTTTTATCACTGCTGCTGAGGAGTGCTTTTCCCCACCCTGGAAATTCCCTCCACCCCTATGGAAAAAATGCTTTCCTCCCCCCCTAGGAAAATGTTGCTGATGCCATGGCCGACTGCTTGATGGTTATGACGCAGGTTGGGCATGTTGGGATGATTGAAGTTGTACAGTGTTTTGTTATAGGTTATGCCCCCTTCTAATCCTTTACTCAAAGGTCGCATGTTGCTTTAATTTTTTTCATCTCCTCCTTCAAAAAAGTGAAGGCTTGTACTTAATCAAATCTCTTGATGCTTGACGAATACAAAAGCTTTACTGAGGATATTGAAGTTTACTAGTAATTGGCCATTCTTCATTAGATTACACCGGGAGGGACATTTTATTTGCCAATTTCCAATCTCTCCCTGGATTTTGCAGAGAGTGTCTTATCTATGTACTTGTAGACAAATGCTGCATAGGCTTGGGTTTAGAGATATTCATTCCTCCTTTGTCTGTGAGTGGCTTCTCGGGGAAGGTTGTGCATCATGTTTGCTCTGAAGAGAATGACTTGGCCTCAGGAAGAATGTCTGTGTCTCTCTGGTCAATGCCAGCACTGTCATGTTCTGAACCGCTCTCACCAGCAAGTATGATCACCACAGTGGCACGTAAAATATAGCAAAAATGCATCGCCAGACTTGTTTAAGAGCACCTCTAAGGAAAACATGTTTTCTCTGATTTCATCTGTTAAAATAAATATGGAAGCATCCAAAACTGAACGCAGTGTCATTTGTCTTCAGAGCTACATGTATAACTATAAGGAAACTATAACAAGCGAAAAAGGGCTTTTTTCCTGTTCATGCCAAGATGCAAATTCTGAATGTGGATTGCGTCATTCAGAGAAAACAGAGAAAACGAGGGGAACTTCCGCCCTGTGTTCATAGTGGATAAACCCTTGTGCATACCAAACAATGCATGGAGCCATTGTAGCCGATTTGGATCCGTCTATATTTACCGGTATTTGAACAGACGAAATCAGAGAAAACATGTTTTCCTTAGAGATGCTCTTTAACTAAATGATTGTTGAATGTACACTCACCAGTATGTAGGGTGTTGACATGATCAGTGCACCCATTTCTCCTCTGCCAAAAAGTTTACCACTTTAATTTTCTCTGACAAAAAGTTTAGTGAATGAAATTGTTTGGAGGTTTCGTTGGTTTGGTTGTCTGCAGATGTGAGCACCACAGGAATAGAATCGTTTTTACAGGCACACTTTTTCAGAATGCATTTGAGGGATTTAATAGGAGTGGCATTTGGTCATGCACATAGGTGCATGTTGCATTTCCCTCGTGTGTTTTGAGCATCAAAACACATTTCAATAGATAGTACTGTACATGTACTGTTGTACAGTGTAGCTCCACCAGCATGTTACATGTAGCTGTCATTGGTACCACTTTAATTTTCTCTGACAAATTGTTGTGTTCTGTTCTGCTTGCAGGCAAGCTCATGGAAGAAGATCAGAAACATGGTACACTGGTCACCGTTTGTTCAGTCGTTCAAGAAAAAATATCCCTGGGTCCAGCTGGCTGGCCATCAAGGTAATTTTGTAAACTTTATTAAAGATTTGATTTAGAAATTTCCCTTAATTCTTGGTGTGAAAATGAGCACAGATGTGGCAAGTACCCATAATTTACAGATGTTTGCATTTAGTATTCACAAACCTACATGTACATGTACATGTATGTGTAACTCAATTCACTGCACTGCATTCCGTATAGTACACGTGTACATGTTTAATGGTAATTGACCAAATGATGGATGGTTTGGACCATCTACATTGTATCTGACCATTTTGACTATGCACTTAGGCATGGTATAGCACTGCTGGTTATCAGTTGCCAAATTAATTGTACATATTGGAACCTACTAGAACACATGTGTATGTACAATGTATGTACATGCATATTAGATTTCTTGTAAGCATTATGTACATAAATCGTGCATGTACATGTAGACGCAAAGTACATGTACATATAGGTACATGTGCTAAGAACTTCTTATTTTTGGAGAAGGTACATGAATTTCATTGTATTATTCTATGGTTCAAGTGTTTTTGTTTTCATATACTGTGTGTTTGATTGGCAGCAAGAGTTGACTCTGGTTTAATCTCGTCCTTACAGTCTTGCTTTTGTTTGACACAACACACGACCATCCCAAAGTCAGGCCTGTTGCCCCATGTACATGTAAATTGAATGCATCCTGTGTTGGGGAAGTACACACATTATATTGCTTGTGTTAGAACTGCAAAGGAATTATGCTTTATATCCAAGCATAAATTCCTTCTAATGCCTATGGTACATGTACTGGTATATTAATTTGCATGTGCGTGTGCTATGCTTGCTTTCCTATGAATCATTGAATGTCTAATGTGCTGCTCGGGTTTTGTACATGTTGCTGTACATTGTACATTTACATATACATGTACTGTACATGTAGGAACCATGTTAGTCCTCTCCCTGATTGCTCAAAGGTCACTGGTTGTTTGTAGAATAGTGACTCTGAGTCAGGAAGTTCGAAGTGCAGGTGCCTAACCATTGATATATTTGTCATTTGGAAATATGCCAAGGTACTGTACCAGCATACATGCACATCTACATGTAACAGTATACATGTAGTTGTGAAGCAAATATGGTCCACAAATTCAGAGCACACCATGGTCATACTCATATTTCTGTGGAACTTCTTTCTTTTGGGGGAGGGATCAGTGTCCCTTAAATACATGTACAGTACATGTACATGTACGTGTACGGTACATGTTTGTGCCATTTTGACTAAAAGAGAGGTTACCCCATTTGTTTTTTTTCCCATAATATTACAAGATTGGCTGATTCAAGGGTATAACATGTACTGCAGCTTTCATATTCCACTCGTTTGTTTCATGTTTGAGTTGACTGTTTTGAGAAAAATCAAGAAAAATGCAGCGGCCTTTGCAGTGGTCAAATTGAAGATCTTTTAATCTTGTGCAAAATCCATGAACTACAGGGCACTTTGAATGAGTGAATAAAATGCACGCAGGGCCCATCTGCAGCTGGTGAGGCATGACAGGTGCTATCTTGGCCTTTGCAAGAGAACTTTTCCATGGCCAAAAAAAGAGTAATCAGTAAATTTATCTTAAAGTAATACATGTATGTAGCACTGAATTTATGGAAAAATTGTGACCGTACTTTAGTGTCCGTATGTATCAGTGGAAGTCTACAGTTAATTAACTAATAATTACAGGCACATAAGAAATTATACGTGGGAAACATGAGAGGTTTTACGTGTACATGTATGTCTGGAAATTGTAGTCTTTGTTGATTAAAATCCTCTAGCTTATGTAGCTCGGAAACCGTAGCCATGTTGGCCAGTGTCTGAGGCAACAGTTTTGACCATACCATTATGAACATTTTTGCATTAAGAAAATATCCCTTCTCGTAAATAAAATTTAACTTTGAACTGATGCATTTTTTTCCTTTTTCTCCACACTTTACACTTATTTTCCTCTTGTTTGAGTTGGTTTTTTTTTTTTTGCTACTTGTACCAGTATTACTTGACTCCAACGTCATCTGTACATGTACATACATGAACCACACACAAAACTTGGCACCTGGTACATGTACATGTGTATAGTATTTGTGAAGATACTGAATTTCATTGAAAAGTTGCTGACTTCGGGTGAATGAAAATGCAGTCTACAAATACGTGTAGATCTATTTGAATTGCTCACCCTTGGATCTTGATTTGAAAGTCCTGTATACATGTATGCTGTTTCTGCAGAGAACTAAAAAACTTGGCCCCCAATTTTTTTTATATCATATCAACTACAGCTTTTGTATGTAATGTGTCAATTCCTTTGTTTTCAGGCAATTTTAAAGCTGGAGAATGTGGCACCATCTTGAAGAAGCATACCCCAAAAGAACAGTGGGCCCTGCGGAAACTGATGGCTGACATCCTAAGACCTTACATCCCAGAGTACAAAGGGATTGTGGAGAAAAACTCAGAGAGTATCCTTTTTCAGCAATATGACCTTACTGGCTTTCTTACAACTATAAATTCCCAATAGGCAGTCTTGCAAGGAATCTTCTGGAATTTTTGAGAATCAGAAACTGATGGCATATTTTGAGGCTCCCAGGAGCATCAAGTAGAGTGATATCCCTCCAATTCCTCTCACCCTCCTGATAGACATTGATAATTCTGGAGATTTAAAGACCAGGGTTTAATTATACCGTACGTGTATACCATTCCAGTTCCAGAAAACTCAACTCCTGGTTTTTAAGATTTTGAAAGATTTAATCTCAGTAATTGGTACTATAATAGCGTTTCGTGCACATACTCCTCCAAAGCTAACATTTTGCTGTCTTTTGTTTTGTCTTTACTTTATGTATACATGTACTTGTGCGTCATCAACTTGAGAGGGTGCATGTATAATGCTGGTATACATCTGCACTAATACAGAACATCAGGAGTTTGAGTGCCTATAGGGTACATGTACATGTAGACTTGTGGTTTTTTTCCCAAGCTCCCCTGCAGTCAGCACTGTGAAGTGTTTATTGTACCATGAAATCAAAAACCTGCAATGTAGTATCAAAATTGGCATCTCCAAGATGCAAAGTTTCCTTAATTGACATTCACATCATAGTGCTTGTTAAGCACACATTTTTTATCACCTGGAGATTCAAGGCCCTTCCCGGTTAAAAACTCAGAAAGTTACATACATGATAGTATTCTTCAACTGAGGGTATCAAAATTGAAGGATTTTTTGGGGTACCTTGTTGAAAAGAAAACTAAGAACAAGTGAGGGCAGGGAAATAACTCTTGGATTTTGTCGAACTGAACATTGAACTTACCATCTGTTGTAACCTATTGAATTTACAGGCTTCACTTTTATTTGTCACTGGCTGCTGTTGATTTCCACAAAATGCCACAAAAAAATCGATTTCCCAAAGCAATTTTCCCATTTTCTTCTGATTACAAAATTGTAAAAACGAAAGGAGGTGCTATCCCTAGTTTGTCGTTTTGAGAAAAAAGTCTTTAACGTTGTTTCTGTGAGCAGAATATGTGCAAATGCAAGATCTGCTTGGAGATTTTGACAATCCTTCTGTCATGGACTGTAAAATTGGAACCCGGTAAGTACATACATGTACATGAAGATACATGTACCAGTACATGTACAGTGCATGTGAAAGATTCTTTTCACTGAGAACATGTTTCACCTGAGAGCTCCATGCATGCATTCATTAAACTGTGGTGTCTGGTGGACTTTCATTTTATTATTCCACAATTTACACTGAGCTTGCCATTTGTCAAAGCAGTTGTGATAAACTTGGTCACTCCATGCACCTACATGTACATGTACACGTATGACTCAGTACATCAGCACTTTCAGTGCAGTGACATGTTGATAATTTCATGAACATACATGTACCTGCTTGGGGTGTTGGGATGCAAGAAACATTTTTTACAAATCCAGGCATAAGGTGCAGTGTGTGTGATCTACAGTGAACAGGGGGACTGTGTGCTGTTGAAAACAACAGCAGTACCTCAGTGCTTACAAGTGTATATTGCTTTGCATGATGGCTATAATACGTAACAAAACAATTGTTGATTTATGAGGGATTGTACATGCAAGTGGACATCTTGTACCTTCCATACCCCATAGTGCACATGCCTTATGTGCACTAAAAGTTGAAACATGTCATGCGACTTATGCCCCACATTGCATCAGTCAACAGTTGCTAAGTAGCTCATACTATTGTTTGTTGTTCATTTCTGAGCAAATAAATAACCATGTTCTCTTGATAACAGCACTGCCAAATACCATATTGCTACCACCCATGCAGTTCTGTCAAAGTACCAGTACATTGGCCTCTCATGAATCTACATGCATACATTCTACAACGGATGAAATGGGGTTCTGCATGATCGTTTTGTAAATGCAATTAATACTCTAACTGATGTAGTGAGACATTACTGTTACACATTATTTTTTATTATCATTCCAAGACTTTCCATGACTGTGCCTGTTGCCAATTATTTGAATATTATACAGTACCTCATTCACTTATCAACTGAAAAAAAATTAAGGGTAACAGAAATTGAAAACAATCAGTTCACGTGAAGTATTTCAAAATAACAAAAATATGTAACCATTTCAAAAACATCACAAATTTAATGTTTACCCCATTAATTGTGACCCCCAAATGAATGAAAAGATCGAGTGTTTACCCTGCCCCAAAAAATCCCCTTTTGGCCGTTTGCGCTCACAAGCTGATTGGATGACACCATCACTGGAACGCCGACATGTACAGTGTACACGTGCATAGTGCACAGTACATGCAGTGTCACACGCTCGCAATAGACCATGTTGTGTTTGATGTAGCTTGGTCCACAGGCAAACACTATCTCAGTTCAAGGTAGAAATTAAAAGACACAGTTCTACCGTGTATTTCTTGAACTGAGGCAGTGTTTGCCTGTTGGCCAAGCTTCATGTACATCAAACACAACATGGTCTATTGTGAACGTGTGATACTGCATGCACTGTGCCCTATTTACATGTACACTGAACATGTACATGTCGGCATTCTGGCGGTGATGTCATCCAAACAGCGTGGGAGTGTGAATAGCCAAAAGCGAATTTTTTTGTGGGCAGGGAAACTCGGATCTTTTTATTCATTTTGGAGTCACAATTAATTTTTTTTGTGGGCAGGGAAACTCAGGATCTTTTTATTCATTTTGGAGTCACAATTAATGGGGCAAACATTAAAGTTACGATGTTTTGAAATGGTTACGTATTTATCGTTATTCTGAAATACTTCACGTGAACTAAATGTTTACAGTTTCTGTTAATCTTTAAAGAACCTTCGTCTGCATTCAGAACGGATGAATTTCTCTCTTTTAAAAATTTTGTATTCTCTTCTTTCCTAAGTGTTCAGTTACACATTGTACATTTGTCTGCGTACTAATTTGAATTCCCACATGTTTACCTGGAGCACACTGCACATGAGATTCATTTGAACATTTATATGATTTATGAAAAGCCAAATGCAATGTTAGGAGTTTCCAAGAATATTTCTAGAGATTTCTTTTAATGAATGCTGTTAGTCACTGTTCTAAATTCACATCGTCACAGCCTGGCATAGTTATTCATATGTACATGTACATGCACTTGTATCGGTACAGTACGTATGTAAAAGCTACATTTGCAATTTGTGCCTCAACACACACACAATCTCATGTCATGTGGGAGTTTTGTTATTTTGGCATTCAACACGGCTTGAAATTTTTCCCAAGCATATTAAATTTGTGGCCCTGCAGTTCCTAGCAGCATGCCCTGCAAAATAGATGTAGTAATTATCTCTCCGTGCATCATGCTGGCAGGCATGTGCAGTGGGTGGTTGCTCTTGGCCATAGTTTTTGTCAGTCATAGTGACAATGGGCCCCTTCCCTGTCGGCTGTTTACCTGAGATCTCTATCTGCCAGAATTCCAATTTTCTGACTGTCATATCTGAAGCAGTTATGGATTTTCCTACATATAAGAACAACTGTGAGAGACATGTTTTCCCTCCACATTGTTCAGTGATTTTTTTGCATTGATTTAAAAAAGAAATGAAACTTTACATATACACTGTACATGTTCATACATGTACATGCATACCTCAAATCAAAGGTCATTGAGCCATCATTTCATTCTTCAGAGTTGATGAGTTACATGTACGAGAGAGAGTTTTTTCTTGCCTGGCAAAGAGAATTCACTTCCTGAGTATCCCCGACAAGAACATACCATCAGACTTTTTGTCCTGGTTTTTTCCATCTCAAACACAATAATTGAGTTCTCTTTTGGTATCCAGACCAGTGCCTTTGAACTACGGATAAAATGCACTACCTGTGCCATTGAAAGTGCAAACTGCAGCCCAAGTAAGATTCTTCCCGCCACTTACATTCAGCAAGATAATAATTAACCAAGCGTGGCACATTATGTTGCTGGAGTGTGCAGAACCCCCCCCCGAAAGAGTCTCATCAGTCACTCGTGCTTCCGTTCATCATCACCTCTGTGTCTGACAAGACTACTTGAAAAAGCTTTTCAAATCTCCTCTGAGGGTGGTTTAGCTGCCTTGAACTACATGTACATGTATAAGGTTTTCAATCTCACAGAGCGGCCTATAATGGGTTTGTTATCAAGATGCAAGGCTACATGTAGATCTCATTTGATCTATATGTAGTATCATTGGAAACATCAGTAATTTCCGGAGCTGTTTTTTTTTTTTGTCACAGATTTTACACAAGAGATAATCAGTTTTTGTCCACATTTTAGAATACAATGTATGCACTGGCATGATCATTGAAGTTTTTGAATGTGTCTGAGCAGCAGGGAATGCCAACATTAAAGCCAGCCTGTGTGCATTATGGTCTTGTCAATCTCATGAAGACTTAATAAGCCATCACAAGAGCAACACTCTAGAAAGTCCTGGATGAACACTACATTATTAAACAAATTGGAATCCCGCTCATAAAATGCACAATTTAGTTACAAGATTTTTCACAAACCCATTCTTTCTTATATGTGCTCAAATATAATTGGTTTTCAAAATTTGAGAAATACCGTAATGCATACAAATTGGACCTCTTGTCAGAGGCTTGATTGCTAGTTGGCCAAATGAGGTTTTGTTCGCTGTGGAGAAAAATCTTGTCTGTTAATTACATGTTAGCACACATGTACACGTACATACATGTACATTACGTACTATACAATACATATTCATACATGTATTTTGGTTACCTTATTGTTACTTGGCTCACTGGGCTTATACCTCCATTTGTCCAACCACAACTAAAGTTCTGTGTTCTTACTCTCTCCCTGAATTCGGCCCACATACCAGTATCTGCGGAGATGAGCCCAAAGAAAGCTGAGTGGAGACATTGAGAAGAAGTCACAGTATTAGTGGTGGGAGGAAAACCCCAGGGGAAAATTCGGGTAAAACCCTGGGAATCAAGTACAGACTGAAAACCTATTTGTAATTTACTGGTACATGTACATGTGGATCAAGCTGGCAAATGAACCTGGGCTGCAGAGGTGAAAGGCAAGGAAAGAAGCACTTTGCTAACCTGACCCACCAAACTTGCAGAAGGAGAATGAAGAAGAAGTGATGCATGTGTCCATTTATAGACAAAAGGTGATAAGGGATGGCCAACACTGGTGGTTGGCATGACGGAGAAAAATTTAAATGTGATTTTTCAGAACTAATGACCTTGTTGTCATCCAGTGTTGCAAATCATTTGCATACCTCATGTACTTGTACATGTTGCAAGGTGTTTAGACTGTGTAGTGACATCAGCACCTTATTCACACCTACAGCATATGTGAACAGTACTTATACATTCACATGTACCATTTTGAAGAAAAAATATCTTTCTCTGCCATGGTCATTAAATACTGCAGAATCTACATCAAATCAATATTTACATACACTGTACATGTACGCACATAAACAGCAGTGAATTACATTTGTGTTTAATTTTTCTTAGAGACTCAAAAATTTCAATCCAAGTTTAAATTTGAAACCACTCCGCCTCAAGCTGAAGTGCACCCCTGATCGGCAAAAGAAAGACAGGTGGTTACAAGTGGGTTCTTTCACATGTTCTGGGTGTATGCAAAGACCATACATACCGGAATAAATTAGTTACGTGTACTCAGCGTGCTCCGCGTCAAACGCCCATATACTTATACACCTCATGGTGGGCCTATGCGGTGAGTACCAAAAAAATACCCTTTTTTGTACCGCTTGGAGCAAATTGAGTGGTTGTGTGAGGTGTTTTGAGTTGTTTATCATGGGATTACGTATATTTAACAGTTTTTTAAACAAATGCAGCAGAAGTCACTTTTGTTATTCTACATGAGTAATGTGAAGGAAACGTACCTCTACTCCCTCCTCTTCCATTGATGCTTTCAGCGCCATCCTCAGAGACCCTAAGTTTCGACCGTATGGTCTGAAGTATTTTCTGAGTACCTTACTGGTCACAGTTAGTACTGACAAACATCCGGCTTGTCACAAGGTGGGTTCTTTTTGAGCATGTATCCAGGGAAGATGTGAGATATGCACCACAGCAGAGTACTTACAGTACTAAAAGAGAGTGAGATTGTTTGCATAACACTCTCAAGACTCCGAGAAAGTCTCCAAGCTGCCAGTGTGTGATTTTAATTTGGGCTTGTTTTAACGAGGGGCTGGCTTCAAGGCATTATGAAGCGTACAATTTTCTTTGAAGTGAACCTTCTTCATTCTGTGGCTAGTATAACAGGTGTGTAACCAGATACATGTACATGTGTAAACATGTAGCTCCAAAACATTCGCATTATATTTTTAGATGTCCAGTGACCCTTCTGGTCTGCACAATAAATTAGTGTTCCTGAGCATTTGATAACTTGGCTTATGTTAAAAATTTGCTGCAAATGAAAGTGACTTCAAAGTACATGCATTGTTAATGCGCCTTGAGCACCCAGCAGGGGTAATATTTGTGCAATATGAGAAATTGGTATCATTATTTTTATGCTGGGCTGTTATATTTCTGTAACCACAAGTTTAAAAATTCTGATAATGGTCAACATCAGATACAAAAGCCCTGGCAGTGCCTACCGTACTTGTACATACATGTACATGGACATACTTGTACATGTTATGAGCCATTTGCCTCTATGCATTCACTAGTTTGGCAATCTGGTCATGGAAGTATTGGCTTTCATAAAAAACCAGAGTGGAATTATGGTATGCTGATACATGCAGGCAAAGTATACTAAAAAAGGTACACTTTGAGCTTATAAATGAGCTACATACACATGTAGGCCTGCATGTATACATTTGCACAGATAGAGGTGCACATAATTGACATTGTTAACCTACATGTACATGTATACAACCAGTTTAGCACTCTGGTAATCTGACTTGTACATGTACATACATGTACTCGTAGCTTTGGCTTAGTGATGTTTAACATTCATGTACATGTACTTGCACTAGGCTGCATTGCTAAACCCATACATGTACATGTGTAGTTCAGTCCCAGCTTGTCTCTTTGTATGCTACATAGCCATTGCCCCCGGACTTAGGTATGCCCTTGTTGTTTGTGAAGCACTATGAAATCTTATTATAGATGACCTTTGCTTTTGATGTTTTGATGACATTTGCTTTATGAACGTCAAATCAGGAAGTTGCTACTTATCGCCTCCATGGTTGCAAAATATATTTTAATACTGGTACATATAAAGAAAAAGCATACATCTAATTTTTGTCTTTTTAAGGGACAATGTAATACAGTTATTTTGTTTCATCCCTCGAAATTACACATTTTTCTATTCAATCTGTATGTTGGAGCTTTTTGGTTTTGATGCTAATGCAAATTTATATATTAATACACAAACCATGATATCATCTCAGGTACATGTACCTAACCTCATTCTTGCATTCATTTGTGCACAAAAACTGCTGGAATTTTTTTCATTTTGCTGGACCGTAGTATACAGTGTACATGTATTTCCATTTCTTTGGCAATTTATTGTTGCATAAATGTGAGGCAAAAAGTCAGTAAGGGACCTTTTCTGATAAACATTTTCATTGAGCAAATTTGGGTTTCAGCACTTGAACATAACACAAGGACACGTATTTTACTGAATGGTGTCTTCCTTGATTGAAATCACAGCAACCGCACCCTCACTTGTCCAGCAAAGCTTGTACAAGTTTTAATGTTTAAAAAAGTGCACTGTTTAAACTACAGAAGACTTTCCAACAAGGCTTTTTCATATGTCTGGAAAGTACCGACGTGCAGACTGGCAAGAATCTCTTCATAAAAAACAAAAAAAACAATATGTGCCACTGATGGTAAGGTTGTCTGGATTCTCTCATCAGAACATACCTTGAAGAAGAACTGAAGAAGGCTAGAGAGAAGCCCAAGCTGCGGAAGGTAAGTTTGCAAACAACCAAGCTGTTACCTTGGTTGGATCTTCTTTGAAAGAGGGAGATGGTTCATACTGTACATGTCACGGTACACGTATATTCATGTATATGTCCATCGATGAAAGTGACATTTCCTCTTTCATAGTGCACTCACAGTGCAACCATGTGACCGGACATACATCTGCCACCATTGTAGGTAACTCTCAGAGTTTTTTAAATGACATAAGGTATAAAATACAATTATGCAGAGCCAATAACCAGCACTGCATCAGAGCAATAACAATTGTACATGGCACTAGTGGTGGTCACTTTGCCATTTGATAAAGAATTAACATTTTTGTAATGTGAGATGGGCCTCTTCGTAATGTTTATGATGTACGATTTAATGTACATGTTCATTTATGTATGGTTGCGAAGCAAATGCTAATTACCTACATGTATGGTGGAATTATCTTGGGGAAACGTTTTGGTCATACGATACTTTGACACTTTATGATCAGACCTACATGTAGTCCCCCCATTTTATGTTTGCGATAAATATGACTTGAAAAGCCAAAAGAAAGTTGAGTGGATGTATATTTGGAAGTTCACACAAGTAACTGTTTAGGATAGGGGTGAGTAGCAAATGGGGGTGGGCAAAGACCCATTTAGCCTGTTTGGACACTTGTTACTATTATTACACACACATGTGCACGTACATACTGTGCATGTACGTGTACAAGCAGAGGTATGGACTGGCAAAGAGGCCACTCGGGCCATTCAACAAGCCATACAGTGTTTGAGTTGCTGTTTAATTACATCATTTGAGGGAACTGAAAGCAGTCAAAAATTTTGAGTGTAGTACCCAATCAGGAACTCAGGAAATTATATGAACAGAGATGGAAATGAGAGGAAAAAAAGATGAGCTTCAGATCACCCATCACTCCTGAATGCTTTATTGAGAGGTTCCTACATGTATGCCTCTATTTGAGTAGTCTTCAAAATCCAAATAATGTACAAAATGTGTGTACCATAAGCATGTAGAATATTTAGACATGTACCTGTACATGCATGCATATTTTGTCTGTGTAAGATATCACTTTTTCTGTTGAGTCTCAGGTTAGCCTTTCGCACTAAATTTCTGGAAGTGTTGCATTGCACATATCATATTGGATGGTGCATACTGTATGCATTTGGGTCTGCTTGACTTCATTTGTTCTGGGCCAAAAAAAAGATCGATTGAATCTGCCTGGCAGCCTGACATGGGGGATTTGAGAGGAAGATGTATCTCAGGTTATCTGATGATGGCCTGTCGTTTTTCATCCATGTGTGAGAGAGCAAGAAACTCGTTACTAGGGGTAACGGTGAGGGAGGGGACTGTCCCCTGAAGAATCATTTTCAGTTTCTCTTGTTTTGTCGTGCCCTTCCTCGGTGCAGATGTGCACAGGCAATAGTCATCATTTTCAAACAATTTTTTATGGGCAGTAATTACATGTACATGTACTTGTCAAGCAGTTAGTCTTAGTGAAAGGTGTGCCCATGTTCATGGGTTGTGCTCAGATACATGTACACATTAATACAGGAGGACAATTTTGTTGAAATTGGTTTTAATTAAGTTCTCTCATGAAGTACATGCATATATGTACAAATGTACCGGGGTAGTTGCAGCAATTGAGCACATTTTACATATCAGTATTGCCCAGGGGGAAATGTATCATACTACTCAGTGCCCATAATTGCGGCAATGCAACTTCTTGCTGATGTCACCAGGCCTGTCTGGCCCAGAAATGCTGGGGGCATGTGATGTAAATATCTAAGTTGTCACTCCTGGAGACGTCATTGGTGGGGTTTAAAAATACACAGAAGGAAAGGTCATGACACAGGGCAAGAGGATGTCATTGACTGTTAGGTACACCTCAAGGGAATTGATGCTTGGATTGGTGTGTCTGCTGCATGCTGACTAGATCAGGAGTGTGAGCAAAGTTTACTTGAACTGGGAGTTGTTTAATAGTGTTCATTGGGATATTGCAATTACCAACAAAAGCATGGTTTGCGAACCAACATAAAAGTAGCAGTACATATACATGTATGTGTACACATATCCTGTCTGCTGAAAATTGTATGAGAGCTCTCTTGCCAAAGGGGGAAAATTGTTTGTGTTTGCCATTTCTGTCCTTCCGTCCAATCCCAATAGCCTGCATAAAGTCCCTTCAAGATACTAGTTTAATTGGCATTTGTTCTGGCCAGCTACATATACATGTATATACATTACATTTACCATGCCATTATGTAAAAAATCTGCATCTACTGTAAAGCACAACCGTTATGTCATGGCAGGAATAATTTTGAGATGTAAGGGACACAGCACAGTGAATTTATTGCATGCAATTTTCATTGGTTGATTTTCGATCACGATCAACAGCTAAAATGCAAACCATTTGGCGACCACACACATACATGTACACGTTTGCATGCACTTGTCCTGATTATCATCACATTTTCCTTAACAGTCAATAGTTAATTGTACCCAGAAAATACTTGAATGCCGTCTGCATGTACAGATTTTGATTTCAGCAGTGCTACATTCACATATCATACATGTACTACACTGTTTGAAAAGCTTTTCAGTAACTTAATTGACTCTCATAACACCTGCTTCTTTTGTTAATTCTTGACTGTGTTTACGACTTTGTGTTCATGGATAGCTTATCAATAAACCATGTGGCTAAAAATACATGTAACTGGTGGCAGGAAGCAGCCAACATTAATGGAAAGTTCAAAGCATTGTGGGTTTTGTGGCTGGTAACATCCTGTGAGTATTTTTCCTCCTCAGCTCCTAGAATTAACGCCTAAAATCATCCACTGATATTTTTTTTAATCCCTAAAGTTGTGTTTTCAGTAATCCTTGTAGCATGTTGTCTGATCCTGCCAGTGAGTTTTACATGGACCGTATGGTTTAAAGTCACAAGAACTACATGTACATGCACCTATACGTTGAATCTTTTGACAAAAGAAGTCAAGTTGTACATACATGTACATGAACATGTAGAAGTAAATTTTCTTAATTTTCAAGTGAGTCTGTAAACATGTAACTTGCAACTGAGTTATCACGAATTCTCAGAGTATAGGGCTCCATGTAGTTAAAAAGGGGGATGGGGCTAAGAATATCATTGTGCAAGAGTAATTTTGTGAGAGGAGAACAAAATTTCATGGGCCTATACTTTAAAAGAAAATTGTGCAACCAAATGAGTTGCCTTGAGTTAAAGGCTGTTGCACGGTGCAAGTCGATGGGGATTCTCAATACCTTTCACCCATGTACATGTACATGTACATGTACTGAGTAGTACATGTACCAGTACGTGAACATGTACAATCTACATGTACATGTATGTCCATCTTCATCAATATACTAATTATAAACTGCACGATACATGGACATGTAAATCAAGCAGATTTTAGTTTGCCTGTTGAATGCAACCCCAAAATACATGTTCCGAAAAAAGGCTTCAAATATTGCGACATTGAGAGTTTTTGACGTAGATTTGCCACCCAGAAACCAGTATACAATGAATTTATTTTCTGAAAATCAATACGAGAGAAAAAAAGAGGCAAGTTCTGTCCACAACCAACTGGGCTTATTTCAGAAACACGCGAGGTAAAATTTTGTGTTTGTGTTGGGTTGATGATGTAACATGGAGCAAGGCACAAAAGGCATGCATGAATCATGCATGAGTTCTGGTATCATTGCCCCCGAAATGCATTAAAACAAGGAGTTTTGATGACATGTAGAAAATGCATAATATTATGCATTAATTTCTAAGATGCATAAACCTAAAATCTTACTCTTTAGCTGGTAAAAATAATTGTGAGATTTGTTCCGAAATGAAGGAGTATGAGAATTGAAGGTAAAGAGGAACGTAATTTGCATGGTGTACATGCATGAGAGTGCACTCGTGTTATGTAATTTTAGATTGTCTTGTCACGTCTTGTTTAATAAATCCTATAATAGGGGAAAGAAGGTTTTCCTTTCCCTACCTCTTTAAAAAAAAAGGCCCTGGGACTCATTATTTCATGTCCTGTCACATATGTTTTGTATTTATATAATACCATAAGGTACTGTATTGCTAACTCTTCAGTAAGTGCAAGCATCGTGCAGCAATGGTAATCTTGATGTACGTGTACAGTTGAGCGTTGGAAAAAATTTTTCATGTGCATAATATTTCTGCTATGTGAGCTCAACTATTATCGTTCTGACCCTCCCAGATCTTAGAAGAATATACCTCGAAATTTTTAGGAGCTGAGTTACATGTACATGTACATGTTTTTGATTAATTAAGGAGGGTAGAGGGTCCATCTTATGCTTTTTTGCATGGGGAATTCATGCCTTTTTAGTGTACGGAACAAATTTGTATGGGCTATACAGATTTTGATGGGAAGGTCCTCAGCAAAAATGTCCAAGGTGCTGGGATTTTATTACTGTTTAGCAGTGTATACCGGTACATGTATCACTGCGTTTATTTGTGTGTAGTAAAGCCGAAGCCCTTGAGGAGCAAACTTTAGCCAGGACTCTAACAGTGCTCATTCATTAACACCGGACACAAAATGTTACATGTACACGTACGTGCAACAATGCACAGCTACATGACCTAGTGTGTAAATGTACATGTATGAAGTACGATTAAAACTGGCCTAATTCATGGTTGGTTCTACATGTACCTTTTCAGTTGAATGTGCAAACTACTTGTATAATATTTTCTCAAATAATCAGGCATGTGGGTAAACTACATGTGTAAGTTTAATAGATTTTCAGTTTATTGCAAGTGACAGAATTTATATTGTGATTTCGTATTCACATACTGTACATGTAACAAACTGGAACATGGGCAGTTACGTTTTTGCACAGATGTGATGAATTAGGACTGATGACAGCATGGGCATTTATACCCAGTCTTCTCCCATTTGTTGTCTACAGGACATGTACCAGAAGATGATCGAAATTGATCCCACAGAGCCAACCTCAGAGGAGCACAGGCTCGGTGCCGTCACCAAGCCTCGCTACATGCAGTGGAGGGAATTCATGAGTTCGTCTGCGACCCTAGGATTCCGGATAGAAGGTGTCAAGGTAAATTGATGCTAATTTAAAGTAATAGCTCAAACGGAAGCCTAAAGAGGATATATGTACAATGTATTTGAAAAATTTGAAGAATGCTGTAAGATGTGTTTGATAGTTTTCTTCTTTACTCTTTGTCTTGATCCTATTGACCGTAGACTTGCATGTACATGTACCGTATATATTAAAAATTCATCCTCAAGATTTTATGATTTTTCAGAAGATGTGATTGATTCTTTTTAATAACTGTTCAAAGCGACAATTAGTCATTATTTTGTGGCAAACTATATTGGGCGGATGGGGTCCGAGTAAAAATTACAGCCAAAAGGAAGAAACCTTCAAACAAATCGTGGTTTTTCCAGAGTCCAGAGACCTGCATATTTTCCCAAAATATGTTTTTCATGTAGATGGGCCATCAAATTCCTCTCAAGCGAACTGAGGCAGGCATCTGGTCTGGCAGAGAGCCTTTGTCCCATGTGGTTCCTGTCTACATTAAAGTTAAACACAAAGCCCATGGACAGTCTGAGAAGAAATCATTGCTCTGACAAGGGCGTCATTTTAACTTCACTTACACATTGTTTTATTTTTAGACCCTGGAATGGATCACTTTCCTTACATTCAGTCCTCACTAAAGTAAAAAAAATCATAGTTGCAATGGGCAAGATCCTCACCATTGTGATTGAAAGTCTGATCAGAACACTCACAGTAATGGCTACTGTTCATTGTCAGGTATTTGCTAAAGTTTCAGAGTCTAGTGTAACAAGTCCTGTAGATTCAGTTTGAGCACAACCTTAGTCTATATGGTGCACGGTCTTCAGCAGTGGGTATGCGCAATTATTCATGGTAACTTGAGCACGTGAGATATGCTCGCAGTTTTTTGGGTAAGCCTGCCAGATTCTAAAAGAATGGTTTTCTAGCAGTTCGTCTCTTGTGAATATAGCGCCCTTTACTGGTCATGCATTTCAGCTGTGCTTGCCAGCGCATGTGGCCTGCATGGTGCACTGGTCAAAACAGTAAAAGTAGTCTTGGGGCAAGACTAGCACAAGCTGCAGTTAAGAGTTGTTTGATATAAATCACTTGATTTAAATCATTGATTTAAATCATTGATTTAAATCATTGATTTAAATCATGATTTAAATCACTGGAAAAAAAAATCACCAATAAAAATCACTATTTTATTTCTTGATTTTTTCAACTCATTAAGTTAAAATTGATCATTTTACATGTATGTGCAATACACATTAGGGGCCTACATATTCTGAAGCAATTTACATATGTACATGTACTTGTAGCCTATGTTAAATTTAAGTGACGTTCCTATAGTATGTGTACCTGCACAGAATTAATCTGTTGCCTGTGTACCATTAAAATTGTTTTTACACAAAACAACTGTCATCAGCTGTTATATAATATTCTACATGTATGCAAATGCCCCCCCCCCGCTGTACAGGCCATTGATAAAACCATTTTGTCTATGGTCAGAATAGCAACATCAGCGATAACAAAGAAACAGTTCACATGTGATATACATACATGTATGTCTGTGGATGTAAATAAAGTATACATGTATACATTTGAATGGTACCAGTAGTTGCAACTAAAAGGATTGAGAGTGAATTTGGGGTGTTACAAGCAAATGGTCATGATGGTAAGGCCCAACTGTTATTTAGCTTATTAAAAATTCTATTTAAAAAACATTTGATTTAAATTAAAAAAAAATCTTATTTAAATAAACAAATCTGATTTTTAAAATGTTTTTTAAAAATCATGATTTTTATCAACCCTGAAAGAGTACATGTACATGTACACATGTTGTTTAAGCAAGCAATGTTTACTCAGCCTCAAGATGATTGGGCCGTTCTAGTGAATGTAGACTCTAGGGCGAGGTCGTGTTGCTTATTTTTAGTGGCCTTATTTTGCATGCACAGGCAACACAGGGAATCACTGGCATGGAAATAATTGTGAAAAACCATGGCAACCACTAGAGCTAGAGAAATGCCAACCTATGGAAGTGTCAGTGACAGTGGCTTCAAATAACTTTGCATCAAGGAATAGTTTTTTGAAAGGGCTATGTAGTCATTAATACCAACTGAAGAACAATACAGTAGTTTGCTCTCAGTCTATATCAAACCACCGAATTGAGACTGAGTTGCAATACAAAAGTAAGCTACATGTATGTACTTCTCTTATCCTGGGATGTTTTTCCTTTATCCACACGTTGACAGGGTGAGGTAGTGTGTCATTGTACAGTTAATTTACCTTATGAAATTTAACAACAGATACTGGGTATAGTGATTCAGTATTGGAACACTATAGTGAATGACTAACTGGAACAAAAAGTCTTTTGTAAGTATATACATGTAATGAAAGAGTCTTGCTTTCTCATTTGAGTTGTTGAGTATGAATTTGCTTGAAGTAATCTGAGTAGGAGTTGGACAAGACCCATGAAAACTGAAGGTTACCTGTGACTGCTGGGTGTTTCTAATAAGAGGTGTACTGCTCTTTAACTGCTGACAAAAACAGAGGCTAGGCCATTGCTTGAAAGCCATTGCTTCTTGGTGCCCTGCCAAAGACCAAGTATTTTTTTGCATTGATAGATGAAAATGACATGAGCATCCCCCTGCACTTCATTCACTAAAGTGCAGAGCTTAGTGCATGAGGACAAGTTTAATACCTTCATGCAAAGAGCAAGGATCTGTGCTACTGTGTTGATAAAGAAACTCAGTGTAAAAAGAAAAAGCAACAAAAAAGTAGGAGGCTTTCTCACCTTAGAAATAAAAATCACTTTTCTTACCCACAGAAAGGAGACGGACATTCCAGTCGAGACTACAAGACTGTACGGACAAAAGACCAGATCAGTGAGAGCTTCAATTTCTTTATCAATGGTGACCCAGCCATTCAGACCAAGTACATTCGCCGTCTGAAAGCCATTCGAGCTACTTTGGAGTCATCAGATTTCTTTGCCAAACATGAGGTACATGTACATCAGGTGTTTTAGTGCAAAGTGGTGGTTTTTTTGGACTAGGATTAATGAAAACTGTTCCATGACTGCAGGCCAATGACGATTCAGAACCTGAACTGCAGGGAACAGCAAAACTGTAGTTGATCCAGGTGGCCTTTAAACAAGATATGTAGGCAAAGAACAAAAAATAAGAGTGTTTATAATACATGGAATTTTACTGCCTGCAGGTCATTGGAAGTTCACTTCTGTTCGTACATGACAAAACCGGGAAAGCGAGTGTATGGATGATAGACTTTGGCAAGACCACCCCTCTGCCTCCCTCAGAAACTAACGATCACCGCACCCCCTGGGTGGAAGGCAACCACGAAGATGGCTACCTGTTTGGCCTGGACAAGATGATTGAGGTGTGGTCTGACATGACTCCCAGAAAGTGCCCCACCGAGACCAATTCAGCTAAACCTTCGAAGAGCGATCCCACCTCTGCCACCACTTCTGGTACCAAAGACACTCTGTCAGGGCCCATGGACTCAGCAGCTGGGGATGCAGACACTCCCAGCTTGCTTTCCCCATCCTCTTCCGTCTCTAGTGTTCCCTCCTCTGTGCCCCCACCCCCTACAGTCACAGCAGCACCCTCATAGCATCGAGAGAGCATGGATTGGTCCAAGGTCACAGGTCAGATCCTGGACCGAAGTCAGAGGTCAAAACAAGGCCATTACTGGTGCAAACAGAATGGTGTGAAAACCGCATGCGTAATTATTTTCTTCAGGTGGGTGTCTGTTAGTGACCCAAAGTCTTTCATGCTGCACACTGAGGTGTTTTGCACGGATTTTTATATTACGGTATAATGCTAACTGCATTTTAGGTAAGCGTTTTGGTTACCTCATTGACTGGATTTTTCATTTGTAACAAGGGCATTTTAAGTTACGCACCAATTTTTACAGTGAGCGGTTTTTAATTTAATCCATTTTTAATTAGTCGTCAATGAACACTTGGCCTTGATGAAGGGAAAATTATACTTTTTTCGTTTTGTGGTTAGATTTGGCTGAAATCAAGTGTTTCTGCTTGACAATTTCTCCTTTCAATGTACTTTTGCACATTTCTCTCAAATGTTTACACATCTAAATTCCTGTTGGAGGATATTCGCACACTTCTAGCAATGTTTATGTGTGTTTGTGTAGGGTGGGAATTTGAATGCTTTGCCACACAGGACCTCCAAGCACATTTTTCCAGCACATAGATTTACTGCATCTCCATTTCTCAGTACGCATGTAGTGTGTTCCAAATGAAAAGATGTCATGTAGCGGGAATACTTGCATATGCATTTCTTTTGGGATGGGTTACTGTCTTCAATAATTTCTTTTTTTTCACTCCAAGTGTGTTTCACTGAGCTGCATTTACATGCAACTAACATCATTACCAGTTACAGCAGTTATCCAAGAGTGCAGCTGCCAATGACAAGCTTGTAGATAAAGCAAATCGTACTTTGAAACACATACACAGACAAAAAGTTGTTAAAGAATGTGTACATTGAAAGAACATTTTACCATGCCCTCTTCAGTAATTTGCAGTGGGTAAGATCTACAATACATGTATACATGTTTAGCAATTATAATCCCGAAGACCACACAATATGATGACTTCTACCAGTGCATCTCCAAAACCTCCCTAATGACAGCTACCTGCTCCAAGCTGGAACAAGAGAGGGTGTGTTTATTTAAAATATCAATGACAGTCTTTTTGTGGGAACTCATCAATGGGCATTTGGCTGGGGGCATGCTGAGCAGAAGTGACCATTTTGGATTTGAATGTACATGTATAGTCACTGCATGTGCTTCTGTGTGTGCATGATAAGCCCGCTTGAAAAACTTCCCACCAGTCTGTTTCTTCTTTCACAGAGAGGATGCGCTTGAACCAGAGGCAGATTTAGCAAACGCACTTGTACATGTACCTCTCTCACAGACACTATGCAAAACTTATTCCCGTAGTCTCTTTCACAAACAAGTGAGCCCAGTTGGCTTCAAAAGAAGTTTCACATATCTTGGGATATTTACACAAAGATGCCTGTCTTGAGTAGGATACACTACATGTTTTGATACATGAGCACAGAATTCTGTTTTGGGGTTTTAGGGTGTTCATAAAAGTTGTTAACTTGTTTTTCTTGTATAAAAATACATGTACAGTGGGACCTCAGCCCTGCATTGTGATGAATTTCACAACTATGCCATTAAAAAGATGTACCTTGAAAACTCATTTCCAGCATCTGTTCTGGAATGTGCTAAATCAATGCTTTTGTGGCTGCTACATGTAAATCTGTTGGGGATTCTGAAGTAGCACAAAGTGATGCTTGCAGATTTGGGCTGAGTTTTCATCCTGCAGCCGGTGAGCCATTTCAATGAGGGATTTTTGGAAAAGACATGTACATGTACAGTTTGTTCGCTTCACTTCAAGATAGCTAAGCATCCTTTGAAAACTAACAATGCATTTAGTGTCAGTGTCTTAAAGGTTTGGGAGGAAGATACCCCCAAAGTGGATCCGGGGGGAGGGGGCAAACCAACATTATAGACAGTCAACCCTTGGACTAAAAACTTGATTTCAGGGAATGTGGCCCTATTAGTTTTATTGGAGCTGGTACCCATTGTTGTGGAGCTCTCTTGGTCATGATTTTCATGCTGCCTTACTTTGCCCCATCCCACCCTTGTGGTCAGATGGGATGTGGGCAAGTCTCTCAACATGTGCAGTTCTTACACTGAGTTGATGTCTTATGTTCCCTGGTCCACGCAAGGAATGGCACACTTGTACACAGTATGTAAACTGGGGCACGCTGCTCCAGAATGCGATTGGAGAAGTCACTGTTAAACATTTGAGCGATGACCGTTTGTTGACTAGTGATCAGGTTTTCCTGGTAGCCTGTGCATGAGATGTCCTGGGTACCAGGCAGCATTGACCCAGTGGTTGACAAATGGTCATTGGCATCACTTTATTTAAACTTGTCCTGGATTGTCTGTGAACCAGCTTGCATGTGTCTGTGCCAGCAAGTTGTGATGGCTATGTTGGAAAAGTTTCCTTTTGTCAGCTTCTTTCTTTGTTTTGAACTCCTAGCATGCATGTTAATGAGATTAACTCTGTAGAGAGTCGTATGGAATATTCTTTAAGGTGGATTTTAAGACCCAAACATTCTTTCCCTCCACTCTAGTCTAGGTTCCTTGTTTGTAGTCCTGAGGCAGCAGTGTTTTATAGGCCCAGCTCCAATGTTAAAGTGCTGGTTGGCACCGAGGCCTCACATACCCTGTAGATGGTGTAACTTTCAAGCTATCAAGCTATTGTTGAAGGTTTGAACCCCCCCAGTAAGAGATGTGTGGGGGGTACTTTCAAAGTCTTTCTTAGTAAGAAAGACCTTGAAACCTGCCTTGTTTGTGAGGTGGTGTTGTGCCTTATGGTATGTTATTCCATATGATTATTCCTGCAGGCCCATAAGTTTTTTAGGCCCTCAAATTGTTTGTAGGTCCTAGGCACGGTACTAACAGTGTCTGTTGGATAATCTGGCCTTGTCTCCATCCACCTAAAAGGATATCACACTTGAGGATTGATCCACTGATGTCAGCAACAATTGTCCACAACTTCCAACCATCCATGCCACCCGTGCTGAACAGCTTGCTGTTTGTCCTAAATTAAAAAAGACCCACACATAGAAATGGATGCTGCCATTGTTATGTACATGTACCAACCTACATTAACTTACTACTACGTGCAGCTAAGTAGGATCTCTTTTACAGTCAAGAGCATTTTTCATACTGTAGAGAGCGGGTTGTTTTGTTAACAGTAATGGACTTACTGTACTCATTTTACAATTCTTTTAAAAAATTTAATCGTCAAATCTCTTTCATCTACATCCTGTATATTTTTAACTGCATTCCTACCAACATCCTCACTTTATAATACAGATTCAATAAATTTTAATGTGTATTGTACATATTTTTTTTTAAGTTAAGAGAGCATGAGTGATATACATTTTTTGTTGAAAACAAAATGTAAGGATGTTTAATTTTGAATTTTGTAGACAAGACAGGTTGAAGTCTCTTGTGCATTTAGCAGATTATTTCATTTTTTTCATGGCCCAACTGTGTAGCATCATTGCAGGATATTCCAAGAGGTGGATGTGATCATTTTGATTCAAACAAAGGATAACTGTGGTAACTTTAATGACCTACCTCCCAGTTATGGATCACTCTTTTCCCAGGCCGTTAGTAATCTTACATGCATGTGAGGATTTGGTCATACAATCAAAATCAAGAGTGTCTGGATTTTGGATTTTGATCCACTTTTTTTCCAAGCACTGCCTGTATTTGTGTGCAGTTTATTATCCATGAACCGTTGGAGATGCCATTCTTCAGGCCTTTTAAAAGAAATTTTCAATTGGGGGCAATTTTGTCAAAAATGTGGTGGACCCTTGGCAGGGTCTGTGCTTTATAGGATTTAACACTCACACAAGTCAAACTGGAAGCCCCAAAATGTGGCACATTTTTCCAAACGCAGTTTGACAGTTTTCATTGAAAAACTGTGTTGAACTAAAAATGTCTTAATGAGAGTATATTATGGCAATCTTCAGATCTGGGGCCAATTTCATAGAGCTGCTTAAGCACAAAACTTGCTTAAGCCTGAAAAAACCTTGCTTGATAAATCAGGTTACCAGCCAAAACCCCATGTGATGTATATTGTTTTGGAATGGTATCCACCTCTCTTTTAGTTAGCATGACAATCACTTAGATTTTGAGCTGGTAACCTTTGTTTTTTAAGCAAGGTTTTTTGTGCTTAAGCAAATGTTGTGCCTAGTGTTGCATTGAGATGGGGCTATAATTATAACACATCTCCATGCAGCAAACGTTGCCACTGCCAACAGGTTCCCACAAATTCGAATTTCTCACCATTGGACTGTTGATTGTCGGTGACATATTTCATAAGTCAGATCTGTGATTTTTACATGTGTCAGCAATTCAATGTGGTCCTAATACGTGACTCTATGTTAAAACATGCATCAAGTCATCTTCATATGTGGACTAGTCTGTATATATTTAGACTTACTGAATGCACAAGGGTGAAACTGGACTGTAGATATTTCTTCAGTTTCTATCTTTACTATGCAGTTTAGAAAATTGTGGAAGACAATATTTTTCACCATTTTATCAGTATTTTGCTACTGTTTTCCATTTGATTGTACAGCTATAGTGTAAATTTAATGGAATGGATCTAAAATAATATCTACCGGTAGTATGGTTACTGACTTCAGAAAACTATAAGGGACTGTCAATAGTTTTGAGATTTTTTCCAGCGAGGTCGGAACAGTTGTGAAACTCGATCAGTCAGAATGTGTTACGAAACAGAGCTACTAAAGTAGACTTTACAAATAGTAAGATACAATATTCCTCTTGGCATTTTTTCCTGTTAAAGACATTTGGTTGTCCACAATGTGCTGTTATGCATGGATAAACACATTGTCTAAGGGGGCATCAGCTGGAATTCGCTTTTCTGCTCGTCCATTACGCAAATCATTAATTCGTGAGATTCTTCATCTTCCAGGAGAAGCCGTCACGCACGAGATCTTTTTTATTGATCAGAGCTAGCCACACCCTCATTACCAGTCTTTTGAAAAGTTGAAAGTCTTCGTTAAGCGTGCACCATTTGATTAATTTAATTCTTAAATTTACTTTTACACAGTGAGGCTGCACAACAAAGCGAAATGCGTCCTTGCAAGATCAGTCGTGTTGGGTTTATTGGAACAACACAAAAAGTAATAGTTATGGACGGTTCATTGCAAGCCGTATTAAAAGGAATCCGACGTTTATCCTGCCCAGGATCTAAAAGGCAGGCACTTGTAATACTAAGAGCGTAAATTCGTGTTCAATAAATTGTAATAAATGAGTTGAATCACTTGCCACTCTTTGTAGAATTGTATAATTAGAATCAATTAAAAAATAAGCTCGAGAAACATGTTTCCTTCGGTGTGGTATCTTCCGGTATAATAAATCAGTTGGGTGTACATGACTGTCACTTGGATTTTGTGTGGGGGTGATGGGGCGGCGGGAATCCAGACAACTTGCGTATCTGGCCGCAACGCAACGGGCACTGTCCGGAAAAGACTAGAAGTACATAACTCTCAGACGTAAAGTAGGTATATTAGGTTTGTGACATCACTTAGCTTACACGTAACATCCCAAACATGCGCCTGAAATTTACAGCATTTCATCATATTTTATCCCCACACCCGTTTTCCCCACATTACCCAGTGATTTGGTTTTAATACTAGATGATGTATAAACGCTGAACAGAACAAAAATCCTTACTATATGTTCGTAAAATACCGAAATAGGACATTTATTTGTCGATAACGAATTCGATACGTTGTTTACGCAGAAAAATGCCGTGGTTCCGTTTTACACAAATCCAGGTTATTTTAGGGTTCCGTGAGGTCGCTTCAGATTGTGGTTTCTTACACCACGGACATGTGGCGACGGATCTAAAATAATACTAAATATTGAAAAGTGGTCTTGTCTGAAAAGGTTTCTCTTTGACGGTTGAGAGTCACGTGCTGGATTGAACGTGAAAAAATGAATGGCTGAAACTATAATGTAGCTGCAGTGAACTTTCCTTGGCAACAGTTTTTCTGCAACTTTATATACATGTGTACCCTTCTTCATTGTATAAAACTCTCTTACTCTTCTATTGGCATTTATTAATTAAAACGTAAATTATCCATGCTTTCCTGGAAAACTGGGGGCGCTGTTGCTTTGATGTGATCTCGGTAAGACAGTGCAGTGCCTAGGGCTTTTTGTTCAAAGCGTGGACCCAGAATTTACTCACTGAAAGCACTTCTAAGAAAGGGATTGATGTTCCTTATTGCTATATATGAACAACAATAAAAGTGTAAAGAAGAGAGAAATTTACGCCAGCAAAATCTACAAAAAGGTCCCGTCTTTAGAGGGGACCATCGGGAACGTAAAGTGGAAAGTCACTTGATTCGGGAAATATTATTTAGGTCTGACTTATATGCCAGCGTCCCATTCTTTTCTTTTAAACCACCTCTACCCTTATACATGTAACCGTACATGTTCGTGTAATACACAATAGAGTATGTTTTTAGAGAGGAAAAAATAACACTTAAGTGATGCTGCCCCTCCCTGGCCAAAGAATATGACCTTGATAAGGTGTAAATTCGTAGACACGACTGATGTATTATTTCATCAGCCGAATAATTCAGCGAATTATGCACTAGAGTACAGGATCAGCATCGTCCCAACAGACTGTAGGGAAAGATTCCTTCGTCCCCACCCCACTTGACTTCTCCATTTGTGGCTTAGGCTTCACTCTCATGAATTTGTGACTATCCACCTCAGTACAAATCCCCGGAATTAAATTCGCATGTCATGAACCGTTAATACTGTTTGAGCTCGCAACAAACTCAACGTGACAAAGCCGAGAAAAAATTAAGAAATGTCTAACATCGAGCTTTCTTGCTTAACCGTGAAAATGGCGTGGAAAGCGCTCATGGTTTTCTTTACATTTTATTTAATAATTGGTAGAGAAATTGTAATGCATAATGCATTATATGTCGTTGAAATTGACCAATAAGAATGTCGAATTACTCGCATCCGCTTAGACTATTTTGACGTCACACAAGCCCACTAGGTGGGCAATGCTGGCACTGGCCCAGGTAAAGTGATCTTTTATTGGATCATTGGGTCAACACTTCCGCGCGAGCGCACGGAGTGATGATAGCGAACGCCAGCGGCGCGCGTGTACATGTACGGACGCGCATTGCTGATGGCGTTTACGCGATGCAGTATTGGTTTCTGCATTACATTTAGGGGTTGTGCAAGGCAACATTAGTCAGTGTGTTTCTGATTGGCGTGACGCACTGCGTATTGGCTGCGTATTCCAAATAATCTCATCTAAAAAACCACATAATACAATAGAGGGTGTAATTAACCGATACAAATCACCCTATTCATTTCATCATATTATTCAAATCACCCTTAGTCATTTAATCATATTATTCAAAGCGCCCCAAGTCATTTAATCACTTGATGAATTTCGGAATAAATCACTTGGTTGCTGAGGTACCGGCGATCCAATTGATAGGTGTACTCTTTGTGTATCGTCTAACTGGTAGAGAGCATCACAGTCATCATAATCAGCTGTATATCCCACCAAAACGGAAAAGTTCGCTTAGCCTTCAGGTCGCTCAGAGTGATCTCTTGACCAAGGAGGACCCAGTGTTTTGGCTAGATTCGAGATCCTATCTGGTTTCAGACTCGACCCCTCGAACTTAGGTTAGGCCAGGGAAATCCCCCAACACACAACGTACGTATGACATAAACGGCACCCCTGGTGTTCAAAAACGTCGTTAAGTTGTGTTTATAAAGAACTTCCCGAAAGCCGTAAAGAACCACCCCCTCCGAGCAAACAGTGTCAAAACAGAGACATCATTTCAAACTCACATTAACACAACATTAAACAAATGTTTAAGACCAGCTGAGTGCGTGACTGCTGAAATTAAGGGGAAAAAGTTTAGCGTCCGTGCCCGCTTTTTTCTTGGGGCTGCTTGAATTTCTTCTTTGTTAATTTGGAAGAAGTTTGTTTAAAAAATCAACTGACCGATCAGAAAACGAAAACTTGCGAGCTGGAACGAGTTTTAGACTATCGACTTCATCGGTTAGCGTGCGACCCCTGTCATGTCGCCTATGGAAGCGTTCAACCGACTAGCTGCATTTGGGCAAGTCCAAGCTGCATCAAAACCTCACTGTTAGTTTCAATAAAGCCGCTTACGAAGTCAACCCAAACTCACGTTTCAGAGTTACGCACAACGTACGTAGAGATTTAATACCTCAGAGCGACTGGTAGAAGACTGCCTTCTAGCTCATGCATTAGCTGGGTCCCCTGACCTGAAGATGTTGCTAACTTTGTTTAATTAGTCTTAGCAACCAGACTTCTGCATGAACGCGTGTAAGTGCACATGTTCTTTGCAGAGTCATCGGCCAGTGCAGCTGTCCAATTTAAAACTTGGATTTTTGTTTTTCTGCAAAGTTTGACACCGTGGTTGTCGTGTGTGTATGAATCCGAATGAAACGGAAGGTGATCACGCAGTAATATGGACGTACTGTAGTGGATATAAACCTGACACTCATGGATGTTTTTGAGTCATTCTAAAATGGAGATTTCAACCAAGCGGTCCCAATAGGCCTACCAGACAACGAAGGTTAGTAGGCCTACTTAAAGTAGGCCTATCCTACATGTATTATTTTCCTGAAGTGCAATACTTTGTTTGTTTTCATTTGTTTTGAAATTATTCAATAGTCATAAAACACTAGTATTGCGTGTAGCAATCCCACTCTGCGTTTTATATTTGTAGGCCTATAGTATGGCTTGTCGGGGATATGACCCATTCAGTTTCTATGGTGCAGTATATGACGTTTGGTAGATGACCAACATTTGATACTTTTATTTTTAAACACACCTACAGTTGTCCTACAAACGTACAGCTCCTAGCTGAAATATTTAAACAAATGTAAGCACGTTTGATGATAATAATAAACGATAATAATTTGTTCAATTATATTGCGTAGATTTCATTGCAAATAAATGCGCAATCAACACAATCTACAAACATTATAATATACCGATAGTTAAAA